AATATATATATATATATATATCTCAATAATATTATATATCAGAAAATGATTATTTAGGCAAATGAAAGAAAATAAATCATTTCAGTCCAGTTATTCACATTTTCAAACTGAATTTTTCGTTTCCTTTCTGGTTTATTTTAGGAAAAAAATTCGTTTAATTTTTCTATGTTTGTGTTTTTTAAAATGAATTGAAGCACACATGGAAAGTAAAAAAAATGTACTCTCCATTAAAACTTGTAAACTTAAAACTGACTTCTGAAATTCAACTTCTTATATCGTTGTGCGTATCTGTGTTTCTTTAACTGTTTATCATTTACTATCTTATTTTAAGTTTCTTTGTTTATATAGAGAAAAACGACTATTAAAAAAAGTAAACATAAAATTACCAGCCTCGTGCTGAATGGTGATGATGGAAGCATGTGATGTCATGTACAAAAAATGCAAAGTTTAACAAACGTCGTGGAAAATTTATTAAAATGGGAAGAGTTTTAGCTTTTAGGAAAAGTGTGCAATATATTATCACATCCAGATAAACATATTTGGTTAAAATATATAAATTGAGTTGAAAGTTTGCTGAATTTAAGAATTTAATCGTACTTATGCGAAGGCAGATTTATTAAACATTTTGATAATTAGGTTGTGTAACAATTATTTATAAGAATATAAAACTTACAAACTTGAAGGGCTAATTTTTCACTAAATATTCCAAATCAGATTGCTTTGTTTGCTGCTTACTATAATTTTCTTCAATAACAATTTTTTTTTCTTCTTATCAGTATGTTTCTTATCGCTTTAAAAATGTTGTTACTTTACTAACACAAAGATGATAAAATTATTAAAATTGCACAGCCAAGTGGAATTTTCTCAGAAATTTATACAAATATAAATCCTTAAATTCACGGAAGACTCAGTATTTTTAGTTTCTTTTTTTCACTTTTTATTTTAGCCATGTTTAAAATGATCGTGCCATATCTAAAGCTACAATTGATGTTTATGCCGTCGGATGGAAGTTTTAATGTTTTGTTTTGTATTATTTCTAATGATTAACTTTTCAAAAACTTTTCATGATCTTTCATGGAATATATTTGCAACTTATACCGACTTTAACTTTTGTTTCTTTTTGTAAAAATATCAATTGAATTTTAATATGATTTACAATAGAAATGCGGTGTTACACTACCAGTATGTATGTTGAAACTGAGAGAGTTCTGAAAATTTAACAAATGTGTGAAGGTGGCAAGCACTAACACATAAGTCAAGAGATATAAAATTTATATTTTTCTATTTAATTTTGTGAAAGTATTGAAGTATAAGATCAACTAATATTACCAAGCGTTGAAGTCTCTCTCTGTATACGCATTAACATCTCATTGCAACTTTTGTGAGTGGGTGGTGAAACCATGAAAAAATGCCACCAAGAAAAAATATTTAATAAGAAAATGATTTTAATATTAAATCTCTTTCATAGAACATATCTTTCAATTCACTTGAATGCTCATGAATACATATTTTCAAGAATACTTTTCAATTCGAAAACAGCTTAAAATGTAAATTTCTACCAAGATATATAAGTAATAATTATTTGTTATTCAAATATTTCTGTTCCAAACATGTGAAAAGAGAATTAAATAATTATTTGAATACTTATACGTAAATATTTTATTAATTTCGAATATTTTTTCATCTGAGGTATATAAATTTGTATAACCAGATTCTATTTCTTCTTGATGGCTTCTTTTTTAAGATCAGCACGCTATTTTTATTGTATATGAGTGTAGTAATTGCTTTACATGTGTGTAGCGAGATTTAAAGAGAGGTAAAAGGGAAATATCTTGGGAAATATAGGCAGATAGCAGAGAGAAAAAAAAGAGAGAAAGACATGTTTCGGAATTTTTTACTGTGTAGTTTTTTAAATTTAGTTGCTATTAAAATTTCGAATTATTATAAACACTGAGAAAACTTCTGAAATTAATTTCAATTACAAATTAATATAAATATTCAACTTTAAGCCTTTCATAATTGAAGATTAGTTTTTTTTTGGAAAACATCGACTACACTTAAAGAAAACACACAATACATAAGTGACCACGCCAATAAGAGATTATCATACACATTTACATCGCCTTCGTAAATACAAAACGATTAGATACTCTTTACCGTAATGCATACATTGGAATAATAGATACGCAATGATTATTACAATTGATTCTTATTGATTGCGTTGTTTACACCTTATCGATGGCCAAACATTTTGAACTATTAAACAAAACAATATTGAACTATTGAAGGGTTTTGTTTTGTATCACCTACATATTACACGTATTTCTTCCTCTTTAAAATTTAAATAAAACAAAGGAAAATTCTTAGACAGTAAGTTTTCTCACTGTTGTTTTTAGTAAACAATTTTTTTTTCTGATTGAAAAGGAATAACGCAATTTGAAAATGTTTACATAGTTTACATACAAAGTCAGCTTAGTAGAATTTTCATCATCAGAGTAGGGAGTGTACCTACCAGTAGTAGTAGAATTTTATTTTTAAATTAAAAATTCGAATCTTCAATTTGGTATTTATCATTCGTAAAAATTTATAAAACGAATGAGCTTGCCTTTTTAATTGTAATTAAAATAAAAGTAAATTGCCTACTAAGAATTTCTTATTTAATTAATCACATCGCTATCTTTAATATTACATCAAAATTTTTAAGATTTTTTTTATCAACTTCAGATACGGATTAAGCCTCCTTACAACCTTTCAGAAAAAAAAAATTGATCCAAAACTATTTTTTGTTTGTTTGTTTTTATTACATGAAATAAAAAACTAAATAGATACAGATACCTATATACGACATTAAAATAGAAATTCAAAAAGACTAGTTTATATCTGTCTAAACTGTTAAATTGTAGATGGATTTTTGTTTCAGGTTGGAAATTCATTAAACAATTGAATCCTAGGTAGAANAAAAAGATGTTCATCTAGTGAATCTTACAAAAATGCTTTTGATACAGTGAATTTTTTAGTTAATGCTCTTAATACTTACAACAATTTTCACGATAGCACGATGGAATTTTTATTTGAAATCTTCTCTCAATAGTACGATGACGGAATAAATTTGAATTTTTGGGGTATTCAAAAAGTGAAAATAAAATTTCAAATTTAAGGATAAGGCTTACGATCATATTATTGTCAAAAGAAGAATATTTTTTATACTTAAATAAATGAGTATCTATGACTATCTCGTTCTAATTTGTGAATTTCGGTGTTTTTTTCTAATATAAAAATTTGAATATCAATGATTTTATTGATATTCAGATCTAAATAACATATACATTAAACGAATACATAAAAAGAAAGCTTAATTCGTGCACTCTTTTGTTAATTTTTTGCAATTCGAATAGAGTAAATTAAAAACATTAAAAAAATTGAGCAGTGTTGTCATTGTCATTTGCCACTAATGTCCATTGCCTCCTAATGATTTCATGTTAAGCTGAAAATTTTGCAAGAATCTTGTATTGAATTGTAAGAATTGACGTCTAATTCTTGTCTAAAGAATTAATTGATTCTCTAATTCTTAAAAAATAATTAATATTGAAATAATGTCAAAAAATGATATGTTGATGCTCATATAAAAGTAAATCATATAGAATTGTATCGTATGATAAGGTACCCTAGGAAATTTATATTTTTCATCTTCTCACACAAAAATTGCATTTTATTATGCTACAATTAAACGTCGGCTATACAAATTAAGTACTTTGATTACTCCTTTCATCGAAGCTTTCAAAAATTCGGTGAATTGGTAACCCTAAGCATGAGGGAAACAGTGAAAAATGTGTGGAAAATAGAAAATCATAGATAACTTTGGAATATAAACTTCCAGTAATTCTCACTCCAAAATGTTTGCTTAATTTGCACATCATATTTTTCGTCAACGTATTTGGCTCTTCACTATCGAGTGAAAAAAAATTCTCTACATAAATATAAGGTTTTTCACATCTTCCTGATTATCATAGTTTCTTTCGATTTTAAAATTTAAATTATCCAAAATAAATTCAATTAAATTTTTTTCCTAGCCTTATCAGAAAAGTCGAAAATGTACAAGCAAGCACAAATTAACTTTAAAGATTATACTAAAATTTGATAATTTATTGCCTAATTTAAATTTATCGGTATTTATTTTTAATAATTTAATGTTCATTATAAGCATGCAAGTAGATAATCAAGAACTCGTTTTGTTTTAACTTGCCTGCAACATTTGACGCTAACCTCCCAGCGGCGCTTTTTTGATGAAATAAAATTAATTATTGTACGAAATTTAACTCATTTAAAGTATTATTTTTTTTGTTAAAAGATAGATTTCATGGGCTGAAAATTAATGAATCTTAATTAAAACTGGCCTCAATAAATCATAGCCATTAAATGATTTTGCACTCTAAATTGTCAAAAAAAATAAAACGATGTAATTAATTTCAAACAAATCTTTAAAGAAGCATTAAAGAATCCTACTGATTTTTGCAATAACATTGCACTCAGAAACGATTATTGTTACTCTACTTAGGAAGATTATTTTACTCGGCTATATTATTTAGTAAAATCTTGTCATATTTAGATATTTATTTATGGTTTATTCAGTTTTTCTCCCTTCATTCTGATACAGAAAAAATAATTAATTGTATTTTTAATTTAAACTCTTAAGTTTAAATCGACAAATTTACGAAGATGGAAATATCGCTTCCGATATACGTATCTAACATATAGACAGTTTTAAGTCTATTATCTTTGAGTAAAAGCTTAAAATCGAATTAATTTGAAAAAGTATTAAGGCTGCTTCTATGGCTTGAACCCTACCTAGTCTTGAGGTAAGGTGAAGTTTTGATACTTCGACCCTAAGCAAGAGCGTTTCCTAGGCAATAATTTAGGTATTAGATAACAATTCCATTTAATAAAATTGTCACTCGTATTAAAGTGAGGGATGAAAGCGTAAGAACACTGCCGAAAATGGAACACACGAAAATGAAATTCTCCAACTACCTACTTAGGTATTTGAGATATCTAAAGCAAATATAACCATAATAGCTCTGACGATAGCTCTGATATTGAAACAATGTTGAATTTTCTAATATATTCAAAAGGAAACTTGATACTTTGTTTATTTCCGTCACTTGTTTCGTATCTTATAACTATTGAGAAAGAAAATTACAGATTTAATGTTAACATTAAATTTAAAATAAGTGATTTTAATTTAATAATAATAATTCTTTATTTTAGATGGAAACTAAATTTCAAATATAGAAAAATAAAATAATAAAAATAAAAGAAAATGAATTCTGGATTTGAATTTTTCATGCAATAATAATTTAAAACAAGAGGTTTTTAGATATCTTAATTTATATTTATTCTTCAACCCTAAACTAAACTCAACAACACAAAACTGTTATTTCTTTTGAATCCTGTGTTTTTTTTCATTGGTTATTCTTAAAAATATCAAAACCTCAAATTGAAGAACTTTTAAATATAAAATCTGTATTTATTTTTGATCAATTTTTGTTTTTACTATTTTCTTATTTTAAATTACTATTATTTAGTGGGTGATAAATGGAAGGTGGTAATATTTCTAACGTGTATGTGTGTGATTTTCTTATATAGTTGAGTGAGTTTATTTTGTGATTTTTATAAAAAGAATGGAACTTTTTGTATTAAACTGAAAGCATCTTTAAATCAATAAACAATGTATTCTCTGTATGCATTCATATACAAACTAAAAAATAATTAAAAATTAAAAATATGTTATGTAAGAAAAAATGTTGTCCTTATTCCTGCTTCTTTTTTATTCGCTATTCTTGGCCTTCTTTAATTCAGGTTCCGTTACAGGAAATTCTTCTGAATCTAGCGACCTGAAAATCATCAATAATCAAATTATGCAATTAATTCAATTTACTAACAAATCAGCAGAAAGTGTTATTTTTCGCTAGAAAAATGTATCACCTTTTAGCGCTACTATGAGAATCGCTATCATTGGTTTCATCATTCGCGATAATTGGTGTATTCGGCTCCAAACTATCTTCTGAAAGTGTACTTTCGTCTAAGCTGTCAACGGCACCTGTAAATGGAGTAATATAGATGGGAAGAGGAGTAAAACTAATTAAAATACCATTGGCTGATCCCTGCGGTTTTCCCTTGTCTTCCGCTGCTTCGATTTGTTCTATAGTTGATGATAAATTATTCTCCATATACTGCTCACTTATTATCTTTGTGTTTTCGATACAAGTGTGAGTGTTATTGGCTCCGTTAGTGCCTACAGAAGCATGTTTGTCGAGATCAGGCATATCTTTTAGTAGCTCCGGTTTGATATCACAAGCTACCGAATGCGTCCAAACTGCTAGTTCAACTCTTTGTACGATAATATATGTAAATATTTAATAACAATATATAAAAATGTTAAGCATAAGCTTTTGATTAATCAAATGCAGTACTTACGAATGTGCCGACCATTGATCACTTTCTGTTTCTTGATTCAGTCGATCTCTCGTGCTTTCGATGTGTGTGACAAATTTCAAATACTCGCGGGTCGTGTAATCAATGCCCTCAATATCTGGGATAGCCTTTAGCACTTCATCAGCCATAAAAGGAGCATTTTCTGGAAGAGCAGCGGCAAGTAGAGCTGATGCCATTGTCGTTCCAACACCTTTAAGATTTGAAAGTGCCGTAATTGCCTGCTCAATGTTTGGTAGTTTTCGAAATGCCTTTTTAGTTTCCATTACTACTGCTCTCGGTGTATTCACTTTAATCAAATATGAGAGTTGAGGATAATACTTTCCACGCTGAGGAAGTAACCAAATAGAAAATTGAAAAATTTAAATTATAATTAATTTATTTCTTATTCTTTTTTGACTTACACTTTGTTTCCACTTCATGCACTGAACTAATTCTTCGTGTATTAAGTGAGCATCGCGTCCTCTTTGTTTTATTTTTTTCGGCAGTTCAGTTTGGTACCTAAAATATAGTGATATCGTCATTAGGGAAAATTAATCTGATAATTTCTCTTCCACAACATATTTTAGTATTATTTTATTTAGGAACTAGGTATATAATTTCTGTTTTCATGTAACACAAACACAGAGAATTTTTCAAGGTACGTACACACACAACCGGTAAAATAGCAGAAACAACTTCATTTTGTTTATGTGTATGTGGGAAAAGAAAAAAGACATTCTGAATCTTTAAAATATGAATTTTGGTTGAAGATATATATTTCAATCTATTCACTTAATAAAATTGTTTATAAAATTTGAAGTAATATGAAATGCAAATAAAATATAATTGTAACAAATTAATGATTGAAAAATCTACTTTTACTTATGATTTTTAAAGTACTGTTTATGAACTCACCATTCGTCAAGTTTAATAAGTTCTTCTGGTTTCTTCTTTTCTTCTGCTTTGAGCGCAAGCACTTGAGGATAAAGCTTTAATACAAAGTCAAATTGACGAGTGTTTCCACGAAGAAAAAATTCTGAGGTCGCGTCTTTCACAGTCGACATTTTGATGAAATGAATCTAGTGAACGAGTGGGAATATACCTATTTCGAATCTCAAGAATGAAATTGTCGACTTATTTTAAATTTTTTTCCGTTAAAAATTTACATTCAATCATAAGGGTGTCAAACTACATCGTTGTTCAATTTGATGAAGGGTATGCATGTACTGTCAACGTACTATTTTAAAAGACCAATCAACTTATAAATATTTTATTTATCTTAACAGAAAAGTTGTGCAACATAAACTTTTGCGGTGTGAGAATCAACAATTTAAACACATTATTGGGTCATATGAAAAAGAATTTGATCATATATTGTTCAATCGTTTTCGGTCCGTGTTTAAACTTGGCAACAACGTATTAAATAAAAGAAATGTATGCTGAAATAATTAAAAGTACCTAGGTAATTGGGAAGCGGTTTCGATAGCACCTTTCGTTTTATTTTATTGAATATAACTTAGGTTCAGGATGTTGTTCATGATATTTAATCCGATGAAAATAGAACTCTAAAGATTGCTCACTATTTGAAAATTTGCTTGCCGTTAAATTTTGAAAGCAATTCCATATTAATATTGGTAGAGCCAAAATTTGGTCACAAAATTGAGATGTCAATTAATTTAATAGTGTAATTAATACCAATGATAATGAAATTCTGTACCATTTATTTAATTCTACATATTACTTCTTATCTTTTAATGCATTTCAAAAAGTAGAAACACCAGAGACAAAAAATGCAGTTTTCGAAGAGTTTTTTTTTTGATGAAAGCAAAATAAATTTAACTCATTTAAAGATCTGAGTAGTCTAAGATAAAGTTTATGCATGAAACTTCCAACTATCTAATATTATTTTTGATGATGAAAACTAAATTTTAAGTGTAGAAAATTAAGGAAACATTTGGCCCTCATAAATTTTGCCACAATTAAGATCTATGAACAAATTCAATAATTTCGTTTTCACTCTATCTAGGTAGAAATTTTTTTTAAGGAAAGCTTTTTTCTATTTTTTCAAAACAAATCTTGCATTAACTCAAAATTTCTGTTTATTCAAAATATTATCTAAGAAATTGCATATGACGTTAGTGTGTTTGGATGTTTTTTAAAGAAAAAAATTGATGGTTTTCAACAGTTTTTTTTAAATCTCTGTTAATTGCCTTAAGTATTAAATATTTCTGCATAACCTGGAATGATAAGAACTTACTACAGTCATTGACTAACATATAAAATAAACATGAAGTGACTTAACAAAAATGACATAAAGTAAGTAAAATTCTGAAAGAATTATAAAATACGAGCAAAATCAAATAAAGAAAAAAGTTAGTAAAATATGAGCAAAATCAAATGAAGAAAAAAGTTAATAAAATTAAGAATTAAAATAAAATAAGATCTAAAAAATAATTTGGCGGGCGATGTTCGTTTCCATTCCCTTATTCCCATGTTATGAATGCAAAAGTTGATTAAATTCTTAAAATTGCAGTATTGATTGTTGGTGTGTCATTTTCTTCTTTTTGTAAGTCAGTCGTATGAGCAAAGTATCAGTGAACGAGCACTGCTTATAACTCTTTGAATATGGTTCTTAAAGGTGAGTCGTTGATCTAAAGGAATAGTAATACCCAGAGAAAAATATGCTTGCTACAATAAGGCTTTTCAATCTATTATAGATTGCTTGTCAAAGAAGACTTGTTGACACCGACCGACGTCAAGAAAAATTGTTGACCGTTATTTTAAATTTATTGGATTTTCTATGATAAGCATTTATTCTTGAAAATATAAATAGAGATTTGGTAGATAGATGAAATATTAATACTCTGATAAATCATTTAAGCCGTATTAAATTTAAAATTACATTCTTAAAGACGTATTCAATAAATTTGGATCAGATTTAAATTTGATAAACCTTTAATTTAAAGTTACATATTACTTTGGGATATATATTTTCAAGCCATATCCAATAAATTCAAAACCCTTCAAAATCCATACAATACCTAGTTGTGAGGAAAATGTATCATATTGCTGTATTTTAAAGAGAAAAATTGATATTCGGTTCATTTCAGTGAAATTTAATTTTATACAAAATTGTAAAATTGTTTTCTTCAAAATTTCTCTAGGTAGGACTATATGATTAATCAAATTCCACTCCACAGTATAATTCAATTTGGAATATTTGTGATTACCGAAGTAGAACTATTCCAACCAAAATTCGACTTAGTGATGCTTAGTTGAAAACTTATAGGAAAATAAAGAAAACTAATTAATAAATAACAAAGCATTAAACAACAGGTGTAATGCGTTGCAACATTTTAACAAAATTTATTAGATGAATGAAAAATAAGTTAGAAGCTTTAAGAAAGCAATAAATATTTTCTCAAAAAGAAATTGAAATAGAAAGAAAAAAAAATAAATATTTTACAAAACTTTTCACTAACAACTAACGTTCTTCGTTAAATAAAATACTTTCTTATTCTTAACATAATACTTTCTTTGATTCTTTCTACAGACTTTAGTTTCTTTATGTTAGCTGAAACAGCTCTTAAAGCAAAAAAATAAATCTAAAGTTACTAGGTAGTTCTTACTAAGCGAAGTACGTTGCTTATATCATTCTCTTTTTATATTCATAATTTTTTATATTTTCGTTACAAACCATACATTCTGAAATGAGGCATTACACTTGTTGTTCCGTTTATAAAACTGTACTATTTGACTAAAAAAATTTGTATACAATCTACATTTGGGCCAGGGACCTATTCCACGAACTGTGTTCCATTTTTGTTCGTTTTAGTACTCGCTTACATTCCAAGCAGGACTCTTTTTCTCTAATTTTCCCTTCGAGCATATAAAAGGAACAAATTGGTAACATACTCGGGATTGCGCAGAACTTTTATTTTTGAAAATATATTAGGTAGGTAGTAAACATTGGCTTAGTTTTTACTTTCTCCACCAATTTCCAATAATCGATAGATAGTTTAACGAAAAGTTTTTGAAAAACTTTTATAATTTTGTGACATAGGTGATTATACTTAGAAAATAATGATAATCTTTGGAAAAATATTAAAAATTTCTGAAAAAATTCTAACATTTCAGAAAAGAAACAAAGAAAACGAACATTTTTTTACATTTCAGAACCCAATATAAAATACATCATATTGATAATAATTATAATCTGCTGATTGATTATTTCTTAAAGTTTTCACACATATTGATAATTATCTGTTACTCTTAACAAATTTTCTTCTCCGCTTGATTTGCCATCATTTAAATCTAACCAAAAAAAATTAAGCCAGTCACGTCGTAAAGGTTTGAAAATTCCTGTGCTTTCACAGTCTATGAAGTCTACTAGGTTTTTGAACGGTCCACGATCAAATGGGCTTTTTCCGCCCTTATTGATGAAATGACGATATCTGAAATTAAAAAATTATTTAAATTTTTATTTTAAAAACAAAATAAAATAAAAAGAATGTAAAATTTGGATCATAAAAAATTTGTTTCTTTGTAGCTTTTACTCGTTTGTCTTTTATTTCGAATCAAATCATGAAATATCTCGAATGATAAGATATCGATAGAGCATTAAGAATAAAATCTTTCCATTTATTTACTAACCTGTCTCGATTCATTCTTTCATTAGTAGTCATTCCTAGGCAAATAATTTGATACTGTTGACAGATAAGAAGAATCGTTACCCAAATCAGATGTGCCGATGCGTTCATCATAACCCACCCAACCCAGGGTGTACAGTGACTTACAATAAGTAGAGCAGCCCAAAGACCGTTTTCATATTGTAAGTAACACATTTGGGAATAGTAAATGTATCCGCCATAAAGCATCCATATACACATAACTATTAACATTACCAAAAAACCAATGAAGAATTTATGGTTTTTTGCTCCAATGCAATTGCCAACCCATGGGCAATGGTGGTCAAATTTCTAAAAAAAGTAATATCTAGTTAGTTTTAATTTGATACAAGTTGTGGACATCATTTGGTAGCAGGATTCAAGCTGAGTAAATGTAGAGTGATGTAAAAGTTACAGCATAAAGAAATTTTCATGGTTTTAATTCCGCTAAATATCTTTTCAGGGGCAGCTATTATCAACTAAGGTAAATGGCGAATTGTAGGACATCAAATTCATGATGTCATCAAATTATCAATTATTATTACATACACTTTTGTCATCTGACAAAATATTTATTATTTCTCAACCAAAGTTTGGTAATTTTAGGGCAAAACAGCCCTATTAAACCCTTGCAAGAGTCCCAAGCTGGAAGTTATAGCTAGAACTTGGATAACAGATATAGTTTAGAGCAAATAGGGGAAAAATAAAATTCATTTTTATAAGTTAAAAGTTTTAACTTGAAACTGCATCGTGAATTTACATATTTCCTTATAGTGAAACTTCAATTTGAAACAATGAAGTATGAAATAAAGTATTTTCAATATTTTTAATAGCTTTTAACTACTACGCACTTTTTCTACTTTTTCAGCAAAATAAAAAGGAAAACTTTGTCTTTTGTTTTATTCGTATGGTCGATAAACCGAGATTTCAAATAAGGGACAAAAAACCCTAGACTCTAGACTCAAGTTCTTTTGATAATTTTAAATGAAAAATTTAATTCCATTTCTTGTTTTTGAATCAAAGAACTGCTAGGCAAAAAATAACTGAAACTTTCATGTGAGTACGAATTTACAAATTATAGGAAAAATTTATGCTCAACATTACACATCTACTCAAAATTAGCTCATCCCGATACCTTGGAATATCCAAATTATAAAATTCAATTTACTGCAACGCATCGATCACAGACAGAGCAATGCTTTGAACGAACCGGACGAAGAAGCAAGCACGCCGAACAAAATACAGAGGGTTCAAAGCCACTTCCATCTCGCTCTGAAAGTTCAATGATAGTACGATAGCGTAGTTCCTTTGAATTTTTTATAACACCAGGATCTGCTCTCCATGACTTAAGGAAGCAATACCAAAGACCTCCAGATGATACAATAAATAGGCATGTAGTAAATAAAGGTTCTAATGGCGTAACGTAAATGATCCACGTGAGATAAAACCAAACCTGAATAAAAATATAACATATACATTAATAAACATTAGTAAACTCGATGGAGTAATTAGATTTTGCGTACGCTCGTTTTTTTTAAAGAAATTACTTTTGACGAATTAATAAGCTCGACGAATGGAATGTATTATGAAAGCATGCAGACAGCTGCATCAAATTTGTCGTTTGATGATAAACGATGTTTATTTTAAATTATCGCGGCAAGTGTGAATAATACAATAACACAATATCTAATCAATTTTGGCATACGATTTTCAATTCAAATCCTTTGAACGTTGTTCATCAGCCGCACATTATCTTTCAAAATCAAAAATTTTTAGAGAATAGAGTATAATAGTCTAAAGTACTTCTCTAAAACGTGTTAAGCTAAATATGAAAGGTAAAATTGCGAAGAAAACAGTGCTTCAAATTTAGCGGTGTGGCTGATAAGTAGACAACGTTTTAAGTGGTGCGGCTCACGGAAAATTACGCTGATAATTTTATGATCCCAATTCAGCCATTATTTACTTATTCGAAAAGGTCGAATTTGTTAAATAAGAAAATTGAAAGTTGGAATTTATCATTCCATAGATCCAATCCACTTGCTGACTTAACTAAGTCTTTCTCTTTTTTCTCAGCTTGAGTTTTTTCAAGATTTTTTGGTTTATATAAATTTCTCTCAGCTAGCTTGTCTAAACTCATCCTCTCATATATCTCTCAACTGACTTGCACGCTCACTTGTATATTTTTCATAATTCCGCTTACTTTTATGGCATATATATACCTAGGTAGTTGATTGAAATGTCTTGAAAAACAAATTGCAATCAAGAAATCCATAAAGGCAAACTTAAATATCCAAAATATGCATATAATAAAAATGAGCAAGAACATAAATAAGATAACGAGCAAGCTCACATCAAAAAAAAATTTGGTAAATAAGTCAAGCAAACAGCAAGCTAAGATTAACGTTGTATCTATGGATCATTCTATGCAATCGTACATATAAAGTACCGATTTGATATAAAATTGATTATCCTCAATTTCTGTATTTTCCGAAACTTTTTTTTTTAAATGCCTAACAGTAAAATAAATTTTTACAGTTTTTGTGAAAGCCAAAAAGAAAAGTTTCATAGCGAAAGATTTTTTTTCTAGCTTTGAATTGAATAGAAAATTTCGCTTCTCAGGTTAGTAAGAGGGTTGGACCAAAACTAAAGTCACAAAAAAGGTTTTATGTAGATTCGCTAACGAAAGAAATAAAACGTTTGGCGAATTAGCTTCGCAAGTAACGTCAAGAAATTAAGGAATATTCTAAGACATAATATACTCACCTTAGTTCCTAGATAAATACTCAGGGGAAGCATAGTCAGAAGTTTATCATCAAACATTGTTTTCCCTAAAGTAGATGCTATCACATATAAACAGGCAATAAGCAATATCCTTATGACAAAATAAGTATCAATTGAAATGATTTGTCCAGTTGCATAAAAAAAAAGGAAAGGCATGAAAATCATAGTCCAATATCGCATTGTGCTGTCACTGGTCAATTTTAAAAATAAAAACTTTTTAAACTTTGAATAGTTTCTCTGTTTTGTGATATCCATAATTTTTTTAGTAACTTTATCACCAAGCCAAGCTGACCCAACGTGCTGTTGAAGCATCCTCAAAGGAGTATCACCATGTAAATTTGGAATATCCAGAGATGCTTTACTCTAAAAGAAAATACATTATAACAATAAAAAATGGATCATTATGTCATAATTATCAATTACTTTGAATATGAGTGTCTTAATGCAGATTGCATTTCTGCTAAGAATAGCCCAATGAAGAGGAGTATTCCCATGAACATTATCGAGTAATTGTTCATTCGCACCCAGGGTTAATAGTAGTCTTACAGGATCAAGCGCTTGAATTTTCCATGACGCCTTATTGAAAAGCATGATATAAAATTAATGTATAATATAGATATTGAATAAAAAGTATTTCAACTTTTCCTTACCCACATAAGAGCTGTCATTCCACTTCGATCTTGCAAGTCTGCATTGATTCCACGAGCAATAAAATATCCGACAAGTGCTGTGTGTCCAAATTGTGCTGCTATATGAATGCAGGAACAACCTTCAGTGTCTCGGAGTGTTGGATCCGCTCCAGCTCGCATGAGTTGCACACATACTCCTAAATGCCCTTGTCTTGTAGCCCAGTGAAGTGGAGTCGCATTTAGTTCTCCCCCCACTGCGTCAATATTTGCCCCGCGTTCAATAAGGTAATCAATTATGTCCCGCCTGTTATTAATCGCTGCCCAATGCAGAAGAGTTACTGTTTCCTTATCAGGTTGATTTATATCCCAACCTGATTCAACTAGTTCTCTGACTCGTGATAAGGCTCCATATTGTGTTGCTTTAACAATATCAAATCCACTATAATCCGACTCCACACAAAGCAATGATGGTTCTTGGAAAATCATTGAATCATTTTGATCTTGTTCATGACATACTCCAGTGACTGCACATGAATTTTGATACATTTTTGTATACTTTTATTTATACAAGGCTAGGTAATCTTGCGTTTAATGTAATTATGTATTCATTTATTGAAAAGTACTCAAAGAAAAAGAATTCAACAAATTTAGATTAAATTTATTTTAATTTCACTAAATATATACCTATATGCAATTTCAAGATTAATTTAATATCTTTAGTTTTTATACAATTTCATTTCATCTTATGCTCTAGGTTGGTTTACCTTACTAATCTCAACTTAAGAGTAAAATAGAATGAATAAAAATCTATTATTTTTCTTGAAGTACTAGATTTGTATGACATAGAATGAAAGCTTAGGCAGCATATGTTGAGAATTGATTATGATTGGGATTTAAACCATTTCATTCTGTAAATTAATCTGATGCAATTCATTTACAAATAAGTATTACAACACGTATCATCACTCATAAAATGTTCAAATAAAAAAAGCGTTAATGAAAGAAGGACTTCACTAGAATGAAATTTATTTATGCAGTGATGTCCATCTTGTTATTCCATAGAAAAAATTTCCATTATAATTTCAATAACGAATAAATTAAAATTAGGTTCATCTTTCGAAATTCTCATCCCTCATTTTCCATACTGAACGTAAATGTGGAAGGAAATTACTGGATGCGACATGGCACGCACAATATATAGGCATATATTTACAGAACTTCTCGATTTGCTAGCATGTCAAAAAGAAAATGTTATTTTTAGCTTTTTAGTCGTGCTAACAGGTATGTAGCATCATATTGGAAAATTAATTGGATTAAGTTCTGATGACCTGATAAGCAATTTATGAAATTTGAAAGCAGAAATTTAAGAAGAAGTGTGAGGAGCATCAAAAAAGGTGAAGGAAACTTGAATTGAAACATAATTTCACGTATAATTTCTCATATGACATATTCTACCATTTGAATGACCAAATTATGCTTCGATTCAAGTTTTTTCACTTTAATCTGCTTCATACTCCTACACTGCTTCTTAATTTTTTTCTTCTTCTAACTGAAATATAAGATTAAAACATAAAATTGAGGATAAAAATTACAGCTTCGTTTTATGAAAAATGAAGCTACCACGAAACTTTGTAAAAACAAAAGGAAAATGTTCTCACTATATCTCTGATCTATTGTTTTTTTTTTCATTACATAATTTATGCTTAGAAATTGGAGAAAATTAAGTTCGAAATAAGTGGCAAGTACACATTTTTTTCTAAAGTTTTGACTAAAAGAATCTTGTTCTTGAAGTCAAAGTATTAAAGAAAATTCCCTTTTCAACTCTGAATTGTGTCTTTCCTGATAATTTTATATTTTTGTTTTTATTTTACAGTGCTATACTTACATAGTTTAAAAATATTTAAAAACGTGAAAAAGTAAAATATACAGCAAGTGTGTGAAGCGTCTAATAAGTAATTTCTTTCTTAAATTCATGTTTATCGTATTTTATTTCTTTCTTTTTTTTGTTGAGACTTTTGATTTCAAAGTTGGGTGAAAAACTTATGTTTGTTAGTAGATTTTGATAAACATAACTAAATAATAAAATTTAAAATGTCAAAAACTAATGAAGCTGTTGAAAATGAAATTAGGAGTTATTGATTTTTTGTTTGAAAACAGGCACAGAATTTTAAGTATAATTAGAAAAGCAAATTTATAATTTAAATCAAGACAGTCCATTTCTTGGATATACATTTTACTTTACTAAATCTAGCCAAGTGATGGAAAGTCTCGTTCGTCATTGACTTTAGGTGCGTGTTGAGCATCATGTCCATGTAATTCACCTCGACGATTATCAAATCGTGGACGACGTAGTGTACGTCTTTCACGATTTTCTCCACCAGCATTATGCAAATCATCTAAAAACCATGAATAAGATTAATAATAAAAAAGTTTTATTATTATAAATATTACAATATTAACCTTTACGTTCTCCACTATCCCGATTTGTCCTGGGACGTCTATTCTGAGTGTTACCATGTCCTCCAGAAATTTTCCCTCCTGTACCAGGTCGACGGCCTAAGCCTCCACGGCGGCCGTCATTGAAATGAAATTCAATATCCAATACTTGTTTCTTTTTTCCGTCTTCCTTTTTTCCAGTAGATAGTCCATCATCTTTGCGATTGAGCTCATCATCTCCATATTTTTTGTCCAATCGTTTCATTTTATCCCATTGAGCATTATCTTCACCTTCGCCTGCTTTCCTCAAATTATATTGTGGCTGAAGCAATTGAGCTTGTCTTTGCGCTTTCCATTCATCCAAAGTCATTTCCTTTAGTTCATCCCCAACTGCCGTTATTGCTGTGGGTTCTAAAATAACTTCATCTACCCCTTCTTTCTGTTCATCATCAATAAGTGGCTTGTTGATATCATCGATATCTTGTTTAACACTACCCCAGTTTCCTTTGCCATTTCCATCTCGCTTATCAATTGCCTTCACACCTGTCTTGTCACTTCCTGATTGGCGATCTCGTTCTCGTTTTCTTCCTTCAAAGTTTCGGTTACGATTCTGATTACGTTGACCAACTGCATTTCCACCAACATTTCGGGGTTTTTCAAAATCTGACATTCCGTTCATTTCCTTATTGCGACGGTTATTTCGTTCTTCACGATTTTCGGTATTTCCTGATTTGTTGAGAATAGGTCGGTTATTGAAAAAAATTTTGTCTGAAATTAGAAAAATTTTCAATCAAGTTTGTATGATATGGTTGAATATTCTTTTATCGTGCTTATTCCAACCTCAAAAAAGAATTTCTGCGAAACAATTTTTGTACCATAAGAGGATTAATTATTTCTTCATGTAATATATATTAAATGCAGAAAATGACAAAATCCTGCCATTATTTTTTATTGAATGCACGTGTTTCAAGTAATCGATAAAAAGTTCTCATCTTATAGGTGTATAAATTATGAAATAAATGTAATATGTGACGAGTTGCTAATTATGATTCTTGCTCTTCCCAAGTATAATATTACTGTCTTCCTTTCAGATGTCAAGAAACTTGAGAATTGTTTAATGACTTTAGTTGAATGAAATAGTTGAGTAGATAGATCGGTTTAGTAAAAAATTCAAAAGAAAATAAATCTGAACTACCTAGTAAATATTTAAATGGCAATGATCTATTCTTACATAAGAAGAAATATTTTTTTTTTCATTTACTCTCAAAGAAAATAATTATTATATAAATTTTTCAACATATACCTAATATACCTATATGTTAAATATGTGTCATTCGCAAGAATTAGTTAAAATTTCTGTTTCAAAATGTGATTTTTTCAAGATTCTTTTTGAAAGGTAAGTTTCTCACTAACACTTATGTATGAATACATATATTATCAATTTCAGGAAATTTTATGTTTAACTTTACATAAAAGATTTATAAAAATTTAACTCAGCCATTTTGCACGTTCGCGATAAAAATTATATTCTAGGCAAGATCTTAATGTTGTGAACTGAAGTATTAATTACCTTCTTTCTGCTGAGTAGTCGAATTATCTTTATTGATGTTATTTTGTTGATCCTTTATACCACGCCGTTGACCCTGATTAGGCTTATTCTGAAGATTTCCATTTTCCAAAGTATCTTTTTTTAATTGTTTGTTTTCCTTTTCAGATGATGATTTAGGTTGAACTATATTAGTTGATGAAGTCAATTGATTTTGTTGTGCCGGTTCTTTTATCTTCTTTTCTTTCTTTTTAGTTATTACGGTTTCAAAGTCCGTAACATCATCTTGATCGTAAAATAATTCATAACGATTTGCTATTCCAATTCCATAATGATTCTCCATCTTTAAAATCCGGGTAGTTCTGGCGGATTGATGGGATATATTTAGAGAAAATTTTACTTTTTCCTTAGTGCAGAATTGAAATACAAGATGGCCGCACGCTAAAATTCTTTATATTACACTAACACTAACGCAAACGTAAAAATTAGTAAAAATTTTTCCTCCAGATGAGAGAATCCGTATCACCACTCACAATGAGTTACGGAATCAAACTAAAAGAGATTCTCAGACGGAACGCTTGCAAACTTAATCTTCCAAGGGGTAAATCATCGGCAAAAATGAGCCAGCAGAAGCACCATTGATGAAAAGAAGCACTAGACAAATTCCAAGAAAAAGTAAACAAATTCTTGGAAAATGACCGTTTTTCTTGAAAAGCACTTGGTAGTGATTTTCGAAACATCATTTAAAGGCAGCCGGCAGAAGCACTATGATGATTTACCCCTTGTAATCTTTGATTTCTCTCTTTCAAAGGAGAATTTCTCTCTTCAAAGAAAAAAATTACTGTCTCTCAAGGGGTAAATAAATTACCTAATAGAAATTTTACTTAAAATTTCCAATAGGGAATTTATTTACCCCTGTGAGACAGTAATTTTATTTAATGATAGAATTTACTATAAATGATAAGTACTCAAAAGTTATAAAATAAAAATTTCACAATAAATTACATTATCTTCTCAAGATCGATCTTAGAAACTATTACTTAACAATTATTTGGAGATTTTAAAAAGATTAACATAAAATGTTATGAATCTGAAATTCATACCTATATCCCGACGATTAATCGTAAACATGGTCTGATAATATTCGATCAACCAAAATTGATTCGGATAATCGGGTAACCGAAAAATTCATTTAGGTTTTCCGAAATTTTTGTTCGATCATTTCTGGCCAGTGTTTAAACTGGTTTGTAATAAAAGTTATACATATTAAAATAATTAAAAATATAAGAAAACTAGTTTCGATAGCACCTTATAGTTTATTCTATTGAATATATTTTATATTCAGGATGTTTTTCAAGATAGGTATTTATTATTCGAAGAACATAGAATTCTAAGCTTGCTCACCTTTTGAAAATTTTCTTGCCGTTAAATTTATCAATGACAATTTATCATGGCCATTAAATGATTCTTTTATAAGATATTTTAAATATTCATCTACGCTGAAAAATATTAACTGAAAATCCAAGACTAGAAACTACAGTTTGGAACCCAATCTGGAATTTTATATTTATAAAATTCTAAAATAATATGTATAAGATATCATTTAAAGTACATTTTTAATTTATTCACCTTTAGCGCGCTTTGGTGTTACCTTACTGATATAGGTAGATGCGGGTAGAATTAAGTTTTAAACATTGTTTTGGCCTTTTTTTTCCATTTCTTTAGCTGATTTTTTTTTGGAAAAACTAGCTGAAGTTCTTTATTTCAACAATTGGATTGATCTTATCCCATCATTGTTACAATACTTCTTCAGATTCTTTCTTTGAAAAAAAAACGTAGAAAATTAATTTATATCTTGAACAGACAATTTGGTTTTATTTTCCATTAGTAAAAGTTAATTTAGGGTCGTGTAAATGCATCCCTCAGATTTAAGAATATCTAAAATTTGTGACGACACATTTGAAATTTCTTTCATACAAACCGAAGCATTTTTTTTCAAATAGGTTTTCCATATAAAAAAAAATCTTTGCTTAGAACCTTGTGTGTTGATATTTTAAATTATCTACTCATAATTTGTAGAGAATTTTTGGAATTTCGTACCTGAAAAATGTTTTAGCAAATTCATCGTCGCAATTACGCTCAAATTTCCAGATGATCAACTTGATCAATTTGAAATGACAATAAGGGAAATGGAATAAATAAAGTTTTATTTTTCGAATTGATCCGATTCAATTCAAGTCGAGTTAAAGCGCTGCAAATTTCAATCAGAATCCAGTTTGTTTTACTTGACAACTTTGAGTTTTATTAGCTAACTCACGAAATCTTAAAAAAATGTATGGGACTTTGCAATATCTAAAATTAATTTTTAAAATATTTAGAAAAAAATAATAAAGTTATAATAATTACATCGCAATAACTTGTAGGTATCTCTTGGAAGAATTAGTAATAATAACAATTTGCTATTACATAGAATGATTCAAACTATACGTATAATCGACATACAATGTTACGCAAATATTTGTGAGTAATTTATTTTTTAACTAGTTAAAACGTTGATTTTGAAAATAATATGCCGTAAAAGTCACTAAAGCTTGTGATCACTGATTATTTCCTCCATAAAAAAAAAGTTTCCTTCAAGACTGGATACATCTGCTTCATCTTGTCGTAACGGAGTTGTCACATCATCATGAATATTCAATGCTGAAAATATTTTTTACATAAGATAACTAAAATTGAAATTATTCACTCACCAAGTTCACCTTGTTTTTGTTGGTGCAGTGTATCTTGTCCTTCTTTAGTAAAATAAAAACTAATATTCCTGAAATTTTGATTAACGTCGTCAAGGAGCATTTCGATTATTTTCATAAAAGTTGGCCTTGCTGTAGGTCTGTGCTGCCAACATCTCCTCATGAGCTCATAAAGTTTATCTGGGCAATTTTCAGGACGTTCCATTACCCCTCCTTCTATAACGTACCTTAATACCTGATCATTTGAAAGTCCCTGATAAATTAAAAAAAAATTATAACATAAAAAGACATTGAGCAAAAAAATTTTACAGGTACATTAGAAGCGCGATAAATTAATAAACTCGACGAAGTAATTAGTTTTTGCGTATACTCTTAATTACGAACAAATCCATTCCATAAACTAATAAGCTCGACGAACGGAAAGTAAGGAAATTGCGTATATTAATTGCGCAGCTGCATGAAAATTGACGTTCTTTTATTTGAAATTTCTGAAGAACCTTCTCAAAAAGAATGTTTTTTCAACTATCAGAAATAGATCAGACAAAACGATTTTTTTTCATTATTCCTGGTATTGAATATCCTTTAAAAGTTCGACGAACTAATATTTTTTTGTCCTTAGTTTATCGCGCTTCTGCTTAACTGTATAAGTATTTATTAATAAGGGAAATATTGGATTCCAAATTTATCATCTCCTTTTCGGTAGATATCTCTTAAAAATTAAATTTAATAATTTCAGGTACCTGATACGGTTGAGAAGCGAGAGTAGCCATTTCCCAAAGAACAACTCCATACGAGAAAACATCACTACTACTCGTGAAAACTCCATCTTTTAAGCTTTCGGGTGACATCCAACGAACAGGAAGAAGTCCCTTTGTCCCTTTCCTGATATTTAGAACAAGTATTTAGTAGAATTTTTTGAAACAATTCAAAAAAATATCTTATTTACCTATAGTAGTCAGTTTCATAAATATCCCGTGTCATCCCAAAGTCACCGATTTTTACAGTCAAGTCTTCAGCGACCATACAATTACGTGCAGCTAAGTCACGATGAACAAATTTTTTTGCAGATAGGTAGCTCATTCCATCAGCAATTTCTGCAGCCATTTGAAGAATTTGTCTAAGTGTTGGTGGTTGAGGCGTTGGCTCATTTGTATTGTCATATTCAGCACGATGAGAACGCAAGTAACTCTTAAGATCACCATTTGACATAAGTTCCATGACAACAAAAGTAGGTTGACTTTGACTTACAACACCAAGAAGCCTTACAACAAATGCTGTGTCAAATTGTTTCATAACTGAAGCTTCATTTAAGAAACTTATTCTTTCTTTGTCAGTTGCATTCTCATTGACTGTTTTTATGGCACAACGAGTTTCATTGTGTTCATTTCTCAGGCCGAGACTGTTATCTTTAAAATCTTTTATTATCCCTTCATATACCATTCCAAAAGATCCCTGACCAAGCTCTTGTAACATAACAACTTTTTCACGTGGAACTTCCCAGTCATCCTGTTTGTAATCTACACCTGCGTAGTCGGAATTGACAATGGCAATAAGCTTCATATTTGATATGGATGTTAAATAATAACGTTTGAAAGCGTAGATTAGGCATAGAAATAATAATATCAAAACAACTGTTAATGATATTGCTATGAATCCTATATTAAATCCGCCATATTCATTAATGATAACATATTTGACTTGAGTAAAGTTTCCCATTCCAGCCATTGATGTTGCAGCAATTTGAATACTATAGTTTCCATTAGTAAGCGATTTCAGTATATGAAAACTTTGATTCATATAAATTTTGTGTGATATACAACTGGATTCCCATTTTGTGTGTTCTAAGTCGTTCTTTTTATAACGAATTGTATACGATAGAAGTAAACCATTGGGATTGGGTGGGGGCTCCCAAGTGGCTTTTATTTGTCCCAAACTGCCATTACCTGGAACAGCGACAACATCGAATCTTGGGATGACATCGTTTTTCTCTTCTTTTAGAGTTATGGCTGAAATTTGTGCTTCGGGGCCACAATTCTCATCAGAGCGATCATCAGAATCTTTTTCACGACATGCTTTCAAAAAGAATTGATAATTCGAATAATGTCGAAGGTCCGAAAGTTCAAACGTTGTTTGCCTTGTGTCATTAATTTCTTGATAAAATGTACGGTATTTTCCGTCCTCAGTTTTTGTTGACTCTGTTTCAAGCTCTCTTCGACGAGCAATTTCTTTGTCAAGATCTTCTGGAAATTCCGCTTGCCTTCTCGCTCTTCTTTTTTCTCGCATTTCACTGACTGTTTCAGGTTCAGTTTTAACATAAACGTAATTTTGGATTTCATCTTCAAAATCAACCGATGACTGGCGGTCTTCATCATCTTCTTCTGCTTTTTGGCAAGTCTGAATACAAATGTTGCAATCGCATGGGCCGATGAATTCAATAAGACTTGGTTTTGGACGATCAGGTGGTTTTGAATCGGTTTTAATAATAGTTTCCGATCGTTCAAAAGCTGTTAAAAAAAATTAGAACTATGTATACTCAGAAAAAAGCAATTCTAAAATCAATAATCCCTTCAGAATTCTACAGAATCTCCGAGTTTCAACATAAATTGAATTGAATCAGAACAGATCGAAATTGAAGCAATTTAAGCAAGTCGTTTTATTTTTTGTCTTATTCCGATTCAATTCAAGTTGAGAGACATTCTATATTTTTGTAGAAGAGAAAGTTTTGACCAAGCCCTAAGTTAGGGTTTTGTTAACAAAAGTTGGGTATTTGAATAAATTCAAGCCACGCTAAAATCGTAGCTAACTACGAGACATTAATTTTGAACTAAATTTTTACAATATTTCGGAAGATTTTAAAAGATAAAAAAGAAATCTTACGCTGCAAGCAATAATCTCGTTGTTCTAAAATTTGATCATTTTTTTCTATAATTTTCGCTCGTATTATGTAACTTTGTAATTTCCCATTGACCTTTCTTGGAGGCTCCCAACTAAGTATCTAAAGAAAGAATATATTTAATTATTACCGAAGTAAGGAACAATAATATATATATAAAGAAGATCTTACAATTGATGAACTAGATTTTGGAACAGCTTTTAACTTAGTAACTGCTTGTGGTTGTCCTGGTGATGTTCGAAAATAGTGAATATCACTTTGTGCGCCTATTTTTTCAGTAGCTAGTGTGTAAGCCTTGACATAGAATGCATATTGTGTATAAGGTTCTAATTTCGTCAGCGGGTAAGATATCGAGTCATTAGTGGTAAAATCGTTAACATCATCAATAAACCATCCATCATTACAGGCGTCTCGTCCACCCCATATTGTAACGTTATTAAATGGTGCAGGGATATATAACACTCCATAACCAAGCAGCGCACGTTCATCACCCAATTTTAATGGTGACCACTGAAGGAGAGCAGCTTGAGAATATGTTTCTACAACTTTTACACCCAAAGTCATAACATTGCAAGTCGTTTTGTCGCCATTTGACATTTTAGCCATATCATAGTTTTCAATTTGAGAAGGATTTTCTGTAACTTTTTCAATTTTGAAGAAGCATAGCAAAGGATTAAAATGGAAGAAAAGCTTTCCGTTTTCAACAGATACAGTTTGATTCCAAAGCTCTTGAAGGTTTTGATTATCCCAAAGAACTACAGAATATTTGTTACTCTCAAGGCGCTTCCCCTTGATAACCTTCAGATTTTTTAAAAAGCTTAGAGACATTATTGGATAAGATCGAGCTATTTTAAGATAATCTTGAATTTCAACAATTTCTGAAAGAGAGTTTTCAAGTTCTTTAACAACATTTGTAGCTGTTTCAAGAGATTTAGATGAACTTCTTCTTAATCGAATCTCTAAAGGACCGTCTATGATGGCACATCCCTTGAGACTTTGAGCTGCAGCTATGGAATCAATAATTTTTGCTTGACACCTTCTTTGACATTCTGATCCACATGATTTACAATCGGTTTGGTTTTTAAAATCAACATAAGTGGGAGGGCAACCTCTCATGCAAGTTCCATTAAAAGGGATGTAGGGTGACACATTTTCCGCATATTTTTCAAAATTATTTAGACTGAAACACTGCTGACGTGTTAGACATCGTCGTTCCATATACTTTAAATAAAGAAAATAATATAAAATAAAATTTAGTTTTAAAATCAATTTAATAAAATTCATCAAACGAACTTCGAATTTTCCTTCTGGGCAGTTATCTTGGCATCTAATTTCATCGTCTATTTCCACAGCAAGTCTTTTACATGCGATACATTTTTTGACATTATTGTTGTCACATCCTCCTATACATTTGGGATCGCAACATTTTCCTTTCGAATTACACACTCCTCCATTACACTTACATACCATTTGACAGTGTTTTTGATTCCAGCATAGCGTACCAGCTTTTGGATCATTACTAGTTGTACGTGGACATTGCAAATCCTCCTTTTCGTAGGGACACACAGGACAATATGCAGGTAATTGATTTTTCTGAAAAACGTTTTAAACAAAATTAATTTATTGATCAGCAACAAAATATTGTAGGAAGAAAATATCAATATACCGCAATATAATGTTCACCCGGTCCAGCGATAAGTGTCCAGTCTATACGATCTGCAAAGCATAGAATATCGTTCTTCTCAATTCTAACATTCCCTCTTTCGATCGTTTGCAAATTGAATAATCCAATTTCTTCTAAATCGTTAACTTCATATATAATTAAGGAATAATCCTTGAAAAGATCACGTCCGCGTATTACAGCAAGATTAGGAAAGAAATGACTGAGGCTTTTGACTCCTCCAACTCGATAAAGCATTAAAAATCCAGTAATTTCTGTTAGTTCGGGAAAGGAGTAATTTACAAAATCATTTTCGGAAGAATCATCTAGAAGAATTATGCTAGCTGATCCTTCAATTACTCGACAACCACGATACTTTTCCATGTCCTCAATTCTGAAGCGTACATTTACAGTGCCACAAACTTGTAAAAATAAAAAAATTAAGCAAAGGTTAATGATATATATATATATATATATATATATATATAT